CTGTCTGTCTGTCTGTCTGTGAATACATGATTGTTTTTCTTAGATAATTTTCAAGATAAACATGGACACATTACTGTACACTAAATTAAAAGAGGTTCACAGGTTTTGTCAAGTCTGTCTGAAGACTTCAATAGTCAGGTGTCCATATGGACACTGTAACAGTTTATGCTTGGTGTAATCCTTCCTCCTGTTCATGCATGAAATCTGCAATGAGTTTGTCAAATGAAATCAGTATCTTCCAAAGTTCCAGTGTTTTTAGTACAAAATTCCCCTTGCCCTTCCCCTGCAGTGGAAGGATAGTAACACAAAGAGGGACACACACCGTCTCTGAAAGATATCCACTTAATTTTGAAGTCAGACATCTGAAGCCTTACATTGGCTACAGATAATAAACTCTTAAACACATTGCTCAGAAGAGGATTGTGGATTGAAATGTACGTCACTTAGCCAAGTGGTTTGCAAACTTTTTCATGTCAAGGACCCCCACAATAGATGTACATTAGACCGCGGACCCCCAGTTTAAGAGCGTTTTGTCTTGAGGAAGGAGTCATTTGTTTTATTTTTTAGCTTTCAAGATTATAAAGTGTATCAATGTATAAAGTCAATCAATGATCATCAATTATCAAGCTAGGATCGCAATAAAATCAAAACAGCCAACCATAGCTTTTTTTTTTTATTGTTCCAACTTTTGAAATGTGATAAAAGTGGAAATATTCTATTCCTCCTTTGACTGTTGATTGGTCACACAAAGACTCATGTTGGTCCCCGGACCCCAGTGAAAACCACTGACTTAGCTTACATTGAGGCCCTTTAATATCCGATATGAGCAGGAGAATTGATAACAGCAAGCAAAACCTGTTTCAACATTCATATGAGCACCTGACTATTGTTTTAGGACAGACTTGAAAAACGGTGAACCTATCCTTTAATGAAACTTCATTTTAATTACTGAAAAAACAATAATCTTTATATAAAACCATATTATCATCAGTCTTTGCTAAAGTGGTGTCCCAGTAATTAATGATGTATCGCAGAAGCATGGATGACTGTGCTAAGCAGTACTACTATTTCAGTAGTACATACATAAATACTACAGTTGTTAAGATTTCAATAATCAGTGTGTGTTGACTGTGCCAGAGTGTAAACAGCAAGCAGCCGGTCAGCTGTCTATGGCTGCATTCTGGCTAGTCTTTACAGCAGCGGATGTGCTAACATTAGCCGAGAAGGCATCGTAACGCCAGACACAGGATTTGAACCCTGTGCTTCTCTCAGATATGACAGATGTGTTGCCAATATATATATATATATTTATACCAGAGGGGTTTCAGAACAGCTTCACCGCAACCCTCAGCCAGAACAACCATGACTAAACTCACTAATGCTCACTGCTCACGTATCTCCTGCAAAGGGAAATAGGTAGTGTTACACAGAACCAATGTATCACAGATAACAGCCAAACCACAGGCACGGCTACTGCCATAACCACAGCAACAGACACAACCGAACCAGCTTAATGAGCCTCCACTAGTTGTCTTTACATAATCTGCAATGATACACACACAGTTTGCACCAGGCTAGCCGATTCCCTCTCTGTCCAGTCTTTATGCTAGGCTAAGCTAACCAGCTGCTGGCTCCAGCTACATAGCTTTTCATTTGACTCTCAGCAAGAAAGAAAAGTCAAACTATTTCTTCGAGTGTTTTAAATGTGTTGAAGGTGTTCCAGTTTTTTCAGACTTTGTATTATATTCTGAATACTTAAAAATTGAATATAAAAGTTGACCAAAAAATGTTTTTAGTATTAGTATTAACTAGTGGCTAGGTGAAGTTTTAGATTGCAACTAACTGAACACTGCTTGCATCTGTATTTGATGACCTGTGAATGAGAGCTGTAAAGCGTGTAGGAGAAACTACGGTGGCCACAAAAAAAAAAAAAGGCAATAGGCCCTATCTACAGCCAGTGTTTGGTTTGTCCGTTCTAGGCTACTATAGAAACATGGCGGTTCAACATGGCAGACTCTGTGAAAGGCGAGCTGTCTGTAGATAAAAATGTGTCATTGTAAGGTAACAAAATCACAAGTCCTATTTTCAGGTGATTATAGACTTATGACAATTAAATATTATATTCAACTTATGCCACTGGATCCTCTAAATGTTACACACTGGACCTTTAACTAGTCCACTAACTCCGGATACAAGTAGTATAGTTTATCTCAGATCCTTCAGTAAAAGTGACAATATGTGTACCAAAAAAACAAAACAAGAAATAAATCATGCATTCACAATTTAATAACTTAAATAAAACTAGAAATAGACTTTAGTAGTGTACTAGCTGTTTCAGTGGTAAATAACAAAATAACAAATACTCCTAATAACAGAACTCTGTATTAATAATTCATAACAACATTTAATTTATAATAATAATAATAATAATAAATATTATTATTATTTTATTAATATCATTATTATTATTAATAATAATAAATATTATTAATTAAT